GTTGCTCTTCTGAGAATGCAAAATAAGTTTTGCTGCAAGTTACATGTATCTGTAGTTGCACGCTACAACTTTAGGAAATAAAAGCCTTAAGGGAGGATGCAGCTGATTTAATCATTATTTTGTTTGGGGTTTTTTTTTTTTTTTTAGCTAAATTGCTGTGTCTTGTTATATGTATATATTAGCGCTCATCTTGCTGTCATCAGATGGGATCTCAGGAAGTCTAGTGAAGTGAATTGCAAGCTTTAACATCAGGCTACATCTTGACCTGGTGCTGAATTATGAATCCATCACTTTTCATTTCAAATAATACGCTGGACCTTGGTCAAAATTATTACTGATATAAACAAATGGCATGGTTGATGGATCTGTTGCCAATAAGCAATGAAAAATACCTTAATATTTTTCCTTAGTTTGGCAAGGTCCTCTTTGTTGATTAAAGCTGGCAACTATAGGGATAAAAGGAGATCTGAAATACTGTGTCTGATAGATGTTCTGATGAAACATGTTTCCCAATGGCTTGAATCCTACCCTTTTCTGTAAGAACTGTCGCTCCTTAGAAGGGTTGACTGATTTTAGAAAGGATTGTAGCATGCCTGCTTCTAGTACACTGATGATTGAGTGAATCTGGAAACAGTACCTGAGTCATCCCTGTCCATAGCTCAGCATTTTAAGGAAATTTGAATTTGATGCCCATTTGCCTTAAACCATTATCAACAAAAGTAACATGGGAGCTGCTCAAGAAGCACCGTAGACATCTATGGCATGGAGGAGAAGTTGACAGCCTGGTGCAATAACCGGGTATCATAGAATCATAGAATAGTTTAGGTTGGAAGGGACCTTTAAAGGTGATCTAGTACAACCCCCCACCCTGCAAAGGGCAGGGACATCTTCAACTAGAACAGGTTGCTCAGACCCCCATCCAACCTGACCTTGAATGTTTCCAGGGATGGGGCATCTACCACCTCTCTGGGCAACCCATTCCAGTGTTTCACCAAACACTGTATCTTCCCCTAGGGCAGGTCACCCTCGCTGTGAATCAGATCCCTACAGCTACAGTTGCTCGGCTGGTTTTGTACTCTCTGTGGAGGTCTGAGATTGAAAGGTACAGTGCGTCGCTCTTGGGGGACATTTCCTTTAGCCTGAAAATTACAGTCTGCACCATTAAAAGAAAGTATCAGAATGCTAATCTTTCATTGCCTCAGACTCATTTACTCCTTTAAGGATGGGAAGACTATTTGCATATGCATTGATTAAACAAAATGCATTTGTTGTTTCAGATGCATTCGTAGTGAATTGTTATAATTTAATCTAGGCTGTGCAGGGTCCTAGGGGGAAGCAACCAAGTGCAATATATATTTGCATCATTAAAAATAATTTAAGTGTGATGACAGCTGGAAAATAACCGTACAAGTGATTTCAGGGTGTTGCATATTTATTGCCTGGTAGTGATAAATCGTTGTTGGTTTTCTCAGTTTACAAGTCAAAAGGCAGGTTTTTAACATGTCAACCTTCAGTCTGGGCTCTGTAAGTCAAGTCAATTGAGCAGACGCCTGCCTAACATTTAGTCCTTGTTGCCACAAATTCAAGCTTCTCACGTTTATTCATTCATTTAATCCCCCAAAGTCCCCTCAAGGTAGGTAAATGTTATCGACATATTACTGATGGAGAACTGAATGTAGGGCAGTCTGAAAGTAACTTTACAGTAATTATCTTTAAAGAAAGGGCTTTTAGACAATCTACAAGTCTTAATCTGAAGTTAGCTGAATATTTTTGATGTTACTCTAGGTGATTTCTTCATCGAGAAACTGACTGAATTGACCATGTCTTCTGAGACCAAGCATGGTTTGTTACCCTTAGTAACATAGGGAATTAACAGATACAATGACAAAGTACCATTTTTATATTAAAACAGAATACTAAGTAGGATTTTGTTAAAACACCACCCTGTTGTGATATTTGGGAAATATGCAAAGGTTAATGACTGAACAGATTATAGGTTTATCGGTCACACATAATGCCTAAATGTTTTTTTGAACTGTACGTAGAGATCACTTTATCTGCTGCTGGAAAACAGCCACATGTGAGCTGGAAAGCAGCAGCTGTCAGAGAGCTCAGAGCACCATTACATGACAGTTGAGAGAGGAGAGCAGAAGAGGTCTCTTTCCCATGCCAAATACTCTGGTGGTTAAAATCTAGTTACCCACTGAAGTGCAGTGGCAACTTAAAGAAAAAAGGCCACATTGGAAAAGGAAAACTAAAAGTCATATTATTAAGGAAAGATGTAAAAATGAAATCACCACTTTCTTGCTTTAATATGTACGTTTCCCTGGTCCTCAGTGTAATTAAGCCCTCAACAGGGCTATGAAAAATCTGTATGTAAAATATAGCTGCTAAACTCTTGAATCTCTGTACTCAAAACTGCACTGACCGTTTCATTCTTTCCTTCTGATATAAGACAAAGTCAAGGTATGAACCAGAAAAAGCCAAATGGAAATACAGGTATTATGCAGTAGGATTATCCCAGAACTTTTGCATAAATTAGCCGATAGGATAGCTCTGCAGTACTGTTTTCTGCATGGACTGTTTTCCTGGTAAAAGAGTGGTTAAGCCTTGTCCAGAAAGACCAAGACTTTACAGTCATTTGGAGGTGGGTAAATAAGGGGCTCAAAGATGAAGGTCAAGGCTGCCTCTTGCTCCTCTCAAAGGCCAAACTCTAGGTCCTGATCAGAAAAAATAATTCACAAGAATTGGCTGTCCTAAGTACATTGTTTTGGTCATTCTCTGAATGCCACCACTAGTTTGGTTAATTACAGGGAAAGACAGTGATTAAAAACTTGGTAAACCCATCAGATTTGTTCGGTGAATGCAATTATTATTGTGCAATACATAGACAAGACCCTTTAGGCTGCAAGAACAGAATAAACACATGTCCCAGTGGTTTTGCAGCTGTGATGTTTGCCCACTAAATAATTATTGGGGAAAAAATTATAAAGCATTGATTTATCTGTAAGCAAGAGTACTACCCAGAATTTAATTTATCTTAGGAATGCTTTAGTCACTCCTGATTCAATCAAATGCTAGAAAGCATACTTTTGCTCTCCTGTCAAGGTAACTTATTGTATTAGAATTTCCCCAAAATATCAAGAGAATTGCATATGTATGAGTCTCCAGGAAAGCCTTTGAAGGAAGGCTACTAATTTTCTTGCTCTTGAAAGAATATCCTCATATTGTCACAAGGTATTAGTGATATTGCCATTTTCCTTTCCCTGCTATGGGGCTTTGTGGGAATTGCTTATCTCCAACCATTCATGACTTTAAGTTGCATTCGCCACCTTGAAATGCTGTAATCATCGCGGCGGGTTCCTGGGGCAGAAGCCTGAGAGGGCTCACGCTTTCAGGTTAGGACTGGGTTTGCTGTGGGGCCGGCACGCGGGAAGCGGGGCAGCGAAGCAATTGTTGCAGTGGACCTTTGCTAACCCCTGTGGTCAGTGGGAACGCTCTAGCTGGTTATGTAAGATTTTGGGCAATTTTGTGAAGCTCCCTTCCTGTACCAGCATGTGGGAATGTGCCATGGACATAACGATAATACACAATTGTTGTCCTTTACTGGATTTCCTTCACGTTGCCGTGGAGTCCACTGAGTATTGATATTTCGTAATAAATTAATTTAATTTCATAATAAATTAATTTAATTTGTAGCTTAAGGATTCTAAAGCCTGTGTCTTAGAACTTCTTTCTTTTCTGTCAATTACAGGTCTTAATTAAAGGCTAGTAAGCACTTATTACTGTGATAGTAGAATGGAAATACCTGCTTGATTATTTAAGAGCTATTTTTATGACTAACTGCTCCTGAATAAACACAAAACTTCTCTTACCTGTCTCTGAGATTAAAATTGGAAAAGACCATAAGATATGCATGGCAGACATTTTATTTTTGAGGATCTTGCTTTTATTTTAGATTGGCCTCATTTTTTTGGCAGTTAATAATGTGCAAAGTTGTATGTTCAACTGTAGGGATATTTTGTGTGGTTTGCGGATTACATGTTCAAAATAGAATTTTATGAAAACAAAAAAATTTAAAGTAGATCACTAATAATTTCTGCATGTAAATAATCCATTGTAAGTACCATCAGTTTAATTGCATGTGCAGATTAAAAATCCTCATTTAAAACCAAATCTTTTAATATTCCATTTGTATTTATGTCAAAATGTATTGAGGCTTGCAGTAGGTTTATGATAATTAACAATAGGAAAACCATAGAGGTTTTGAAGTTTGATTTAGATAAATACCAGAAATATGAATATTTATCCACCATACACATATCTATTGTGATTTCTTGCAAAATTTCTGGTTCTTTAGGCCTCGAGGGAAGCTAAACAAGTATTGTAATTCTGCGTTTGGTTCCCACCTGACTCCACAAGAGCAGAGAAAAGTGAGAAGAAAATTACTCATTCATTTTATAGTTTCCTCACAGAAGAGTAGTTTAAGTCATTTGGTTTTGGTTTTTTTTTTTTTTTCCTGTCTACTTTCCTCGTTATAATGGTAGCTACAAAGCTGTAAGAGGTCTATGCATTTGACTTATTACTAAAGTAATTCAGATCTGGATCATATGAATCTTTCAGAGATTTTTTCTTTTTTTTTGTGCAAATTGCATGAATCTTCAGAGTGTTCTTATTCTAATCTGTGATGTTAGTAAGCTTCTACTGCAAGCTTAATGACGAATGCCTTGGAGACCTGTGCTACTAATTATGCTCTGAATTTTTTCTCAGACTGTCTAGCTCTTTGTGGTAGGTTAGCAACTTGATCCCCAGCATCAAACATTACCATCTCAACCGTAATGAAACAGGAAGCTGCTTACCGCATGACATGAAAAGGCTGCTCTGAGCAGTGTTCGTGTGATGATGCTAAGCAGGTTTGGAGCTAGAACCGCCGCTGAACTTGGCAGTTTCTTTGTTAAGGTATTTTAATCAATCCCACTGCAATGTTTTCTCAATGCTAGGATTCTGCCAAACATCTGGCTGGGAAGTTGCCCTCGGCAGCTGGAGCATGTCACGGTCAAGTTGAAGCATGAGCTGGGTGTTACAGCTGTGATGAACTTCCAGACCGAATGGGACATTGTACAGAATTCCTGGGGCTGCAACCGCTACCCAGAACCCATGAGCCCTGAAATCCTCATGAAACTGTATAAAGAGGAAGGTCTGGCCTATGTCTGGATGCCAACCCCAGACATGAGCACTGAAGGTAATGTTCAAACTGTTCATGCAGCTAAATTAATAGTAACAAACCCTTTGAGTTACTAATCTGTCACTTTCATGACTGCTGTTTTTTTCTGCGTAAATTTTGCGTAAAAATATAGCTAACATGCAAGGTGTAATTTCTGTGTATGTTGTCTCTAACAAATTTCTCATATTTTCTTGTAGGCTGAGACGCCATCTAAAGTACTTTGTGTCTGGCAGTATACATGTATTTGAGTTTAAAGCCATGTGACATTGACAGTTTTTGCTTTCAGCTTGAATTCAGCCAGTATAATGAAAATATGTTGTGTAGGTGGATGTTGTGGTTTAACCCCAGCCAGCAACTAAGCACCACCCAACTGCTTACTCAGTCCCACCCCGGTGAGATGGGGGAGAGAATCAGAAGGATAAAAGAGAGAAAACTTGTGGGTTGAGATAAAGACAGTGTAATAAGTAAAGCAAAAGCTACGTGCACAAGCAAAGCAAACCAAGGGATTCATTCCCCACTGCCCATGGGCAGGCAGGTGTTCAGCCATCTCCCGGAAAGCAGGGCTCCGTCACACGTAACGGTCACTTGGGAAGACAAACGCCATCGCTTCAAATGTCTCCCCCTTCCTGCTTCTTCCCCCAGCTTTTGTATGCGTGGTGTGGAATATCCCTTTGGTCAGTTGGGGTCAGCTGTCCTGGCTGTGTCCCCTCCCAACCTCTTGTGTACCCCCAGCCTCCTCACTGGTGGGGTGGGGTGAGAAGCAGAAAAGGCCTTGGCTCTGTGTAAGCACTGCTCAGCAATAATGAAAACTTCTCTGTATTATCAACACTGTTTCCAGCACAAATCAAAAACAGCCCCATGCTAGCTACTATAAAGAAAATTAACTCTGTCCCAGCCAAAACCAGCACATTTTCCAGCCCATATTCTGTACCATTTATGTCATGCTTGGGTCCCACAGTATCCAATACATCCTCATTACCACCACTACCCTTCCCATCATTTGATATAATGCACAGATATAATTCCCTTAGTCTATGGACCACCCCTGTGAAATGTATGTAAAATGTCAATTGAGTTCATTTAGTCCATGACTTTGGACCTCGTCTGTTATGGTGGTCACTCAGGACAGGAGAGGTGGTGTGATGCGTGGAGTCACTGGACACCAAAGCCAGCTCAGTTCGGGTCACTGCTGCTCTTGCACTGCTTCTTGTAAGTCTTGTCCTCCATTGGTTCCGGTGATTTCTGCTACAGTAATTCCTATAACATGCAACTCAGATCCTGGGTTACAACAAATTAAAAGTATTTCCATTGCAGTCTCCACCTCTGGTCCCTTTGGACCAGACCATCGGGTTTAACATTGCAATGAACTCCTCCCCTTGCACCTGCTCCAGCTTGGACTTATCCACAGACTGCAGTCCCTTAGGGGTGTACCTGCTCCAAGTGGAGCCTTATCTGTGAGCCGCAGTCTCTCCAGCGGTATACCTGCTGCAGCGTAGACTTATCTGCAGCCACAGTCACTTTGAGGTGCACCTGTTCCAGCATGGCCTTCTCCATGGGCCACAATGCCTTCAGAGATATACCTGTTCCAGTGTGGCCTTACCCACAGCCACAGTCCCTTCAGAAGTAAACCTGCTCCAACATGGCCTTACCTATGGCTGCAGTTCCTCCAAGGGTACCTGCTCTGTTGTGGGCTTATCCATGGCCACGCGCTTTGAGGTGCTCCAGCATGACCTCACACACAGCTACTGATGCTTCAAGGTGTACCTGCTGCAGCATGGACTTATGCTTGGGACACAATCCCTTCTGTGGTACAGACATAACCATGGCCACAGACGCTTCAAGATGTACCTGATCTGGTGTGGACTTATCCATGGCCACAGATACTTTGGGGTGTCCTGCTCCCACATGGACTCATCCACAGGGACTGTGGTCCCTGCAAGCTTGCACAGCAGGACAGCTTGTCATCCTTGCTGGTTAAAAATGGAGAGAAAATGCTATATGTCTGTCCCTGCTGTTCCCTTCCCCCAACAAAACATTTTTCTTTAACTATAGTATCCTGATCTGATAAATCTTCATTGAGTAATGTATATACTTATTTGTAATTAATTGAGAATACCCATAGCATCTGATGTTGTAACATAAATTATTACTCTTTTTAATTTCTCCATCGGAACACTCAGTTCAAAATCTTGCTTCCAACCAGTAGGTTAGAAAGTGTGCATGTTTTCAAGTGAGTAGCCTACCAGCAGAAGAGAGTGTTTTCACTAGAGTGAAATACTGCTGCTACAAATGGAGAACTGTCATATCGGTAATAGGACATCAGGGAAGACAGGAGACCTTAAAACAGGGATTTGAAAGGGCTTAATGTCAGTGCTCATATGTGCCATGAGGAAAGGTTAGGCTCTGATGTTTGCAGCTTCAGTTCCCAAGGTAACAGGGAGAAAGGCATCAGGAAATATGGTATAGTCATCCCTTTGGGAATCAGAAAGACTGTTCTGTGTTGTTTAGCCATATGCTTAGTACACGATTAAATCATAACATTATTAAGTTGTACAGGAAAATACTCTTCTGCTCTCCCTCCCTCCCTTATTGTTGACATAATGGACTTAATTACAATGTTTTGGAAAGCAACAGTACATAGGGAATTTCACAAACCTCTGGTACTAAAAAACATTGCACTTTTGGCTTGCTAATGTTAATGCTATATGTAAAATGTACTGTTTGATGTAATTTTCTGCCTTATCTCAGTCCCCGTGAAAACGAATATGCCACACACATTCAGTATTAATCAGAATGTATATTTAGAAAGGACTTGGGGCATTTTACAGATTTTGTGTGATACGACTCTATGTTGCCAGAAGAAACAAAGGTTAGGGTAGAAGGTCATTTGAAAAAAACCAAAACAAACCAAACAAACACCCATCCCACCCCCCAAATATGTCAGGTTTGCCATTGTGATTCACAGTGCATCAGGCCGTACAGACATAATCTCAACCACGAACCTAGCTTTCTCAAATGCAAATGAGCGTACCTTGTTTTGAACCTTAGGAAGAATACAGATGTTGCCACAAGCTGTCTGCCTCTTGCACGGGCTACTGGAGAATGGACACACTGTCTACGTTCATTGCAACGCTGGTGTTGGCAGGTCTACAGCTGCTGTCAGTGGCTGGCTGAAGTACGTGATGGGATGGAGCCTGCGGAAAGTGCAGTACTTTTTGGCTTCCCGGAGACCAGCTGTCTACATTGACGAGGAAGCTCTGAATCGTGCTGAAGATGACTTCTACCAGAAATTTGGGCATCTTCGTTCCTCATGCAAAGTGCAAGAGTAGAAAAGCAGGAGAGGAAAAGGAAGGTGAAGAGGAATCCTACGTTTGAACCCCAAGGACTTAGAAATCATGAGTCAGACACCTGCCTCTCTTTTTCAGATTATAAGCTTGTCATAACAGTCATGAGAACTTTGTTTAAAAAGTGCCTTTGAGGGGGTTTTTATTTGCTTTCTTTAAGCTGATATGATTCAAGTTTTCAAGCGTTTTGCTGCAAGTATGAGACCTAGAAACTCCGCAAAGGGAAACTAAGATTTTCTTTTAACTACTTGCCTACAGGAACTGAGGTTTTAGGGTAGACACTAAATAAGATGTGGTGTGAAATAGTGAGAGTTGGCAAGATTTCAGTAACAAGAAAGAGAAGGCATTGTCAGAAAAACAGATACAAAGGTTGACTGGATTGAGGTTCAGGTTAGGATGGAGCTGATTGTCATCAAAGCTGCTCAGTTATTTTAGCTGGAGTGTACATTATTGAAGTGGTTTCTAGTAATTTTGTAGACAAATGGCATTAATGAGAGACACCAGGAGGAAACTGAGTTTTCAATATATGTTCATCCATATTCAGCATAACAGTGAATTTGGACTCCAATAAGAAGTTTAGCATTTTTACTAACCAGAGATAAACTGCTGATTTAATAATCAATCTTTTTGTCATTTTGACCAAGTGGTTTTTTTGTTAGGGTTTCCTTTTCTTGGTATTGTTAATTTAAAGTTGATCCTCTTGGCCTTGAAAAGAATACTTTCTGTGATATTTTTTACTTTTATTTTGAGACACAGTTATAGCTGTCCAGAGTAAGAAAGGATAGATTCTACCTCTGAGTATGGCTGCAAATTTTCATTCTGAAGTTAATTTATAAATGAAGTATCCTCATTTGAGGGAAGAAGATGTAAGGTAAACAAGAAGTTTGTTGGCTGCATCCACAGCAATGACAATTCATGGAATGAGTTTTCAACTCAGTTTCTTAAACAAAAAGCTGATGTCTAATGCAGTGAAATAAAATTTGCTCTCTTTACCTAATTAATATTAAATATTATGAGTTATAGCTATATTCTTTTGTGACATTGAGGTTATGCTGGGGTGTGACATGGAGAGAGGAAATAGCTCTGCTTACTGTAGTCTTACTCTGTTGCAGGGAAGAACTACTATTTATTACATTATCCTAGGCTGTGAGATCTCTAAGTCAAAGATACATTTTGCTTTTCTGGTCAATGCAGTGCTGTACAGTGGGCTCCCTAGGTGCCAAGTCAATCTAAGCAATAACCGCTGGGCTAAAATAGGATGTATAGAAGCTGTGTGATAAGCCTCTGGGCATGACCGACACCACAGCCTCCATGTTATTGACCTAAATGAATTTCTCCACTACCGTGAAAGTCTCTCCTCCTTGCACGAGCAGTGTGTGGATGTTCACAGATGCTAGATTTAGCCAAGTGAAGTGAATACATTCCTGTATAGGAACAAAGAGCAACTCTGAGGAGAGTTTCTCAGGAGGTTGGCCTCAGTAGGCTAATGTTGGCTTTGTGGATGATCCCTAATGTTTTCCAGTGCTGCTTAGTCCCTCAGTTAAACTAAGCAGTGGCACCAACACCTTCCAGCCCTGCTCAGGTAAAACCAATTTGCTGTAGGTTAAGTCCAAGACAGAAGGGAGAGAAAGCAATTCCTAAGGAACAGAGAATTAAGGATGCATAAACATTAAGAAACCTAATTTCTATAGATTTGGTCTTCAGTGAAATCTCTTTTTTTCCAGCCAACTTGTCCCTCTAAAGAACCAGAGTAGTGTAGCTGGTACACATGGATTATCTGAATACTTAATGGAGAAACTATTAGATATGAACTGTTTATGGAGAATGTCCAGAATAATATAATACATTTTATTTATTCCATACTTCAATCATCTTCAAAAGGAAAAATGTTTATTTATTTAAGTTATTCTACATGTGTGATCTTGATTATGACTTTGTTTCTCATTTTTTGCTTTGAAATAACACTGCCTGTTTAGAAAATGGATGAGAAAAGTTCTCTACTAAATAAAAGCATAATAACAATTCTAACAGCCCATCTTGTCATCTGTGTCTGGCTCCCAATTTCATATATAGCAAAAAGGGTCATCGCTGATATTTCTATATAGGGGTGGGACCAGCCACTTTAATGGTAACAGGCCATTTCTTGCCTGCTATGCTGTGTCAGTTTTGATAGGCTGTTGAGAAGGAAATCTCAAAAAAGCAGCACAGCAAAGATACGTGGGTGATACAGTACCTCTGGTATCTCCAAAAACCAAAAAAAAAAAAAAGGGATTGTTTCCCCTAGCCTGATGCAGAGAGGAGAGGGAGTGTGTCAGTGCCTCGGTCTCTTGTGTGAACATGCAGAGCTACAGCTGGGCATCCAGGAGCACTCAGGAGTTACTGCATTTTGACTGAGTTTAAAGTAAAAATTGTGAGCTTTTGCCATTGTGTGCCTCTCAAAATCAAGCGCTGAGGAGGATGGCATAAGAAGTGGAGAGTAGAACTCAAATGAGTTTTACATTTCTGTGGAGATAGATTTGAAACCTCAAGCTTAAAGTGTGTTTCCAAGGATTCCCAACAGCCAGTCCTTTCCATCAGATGCAACTTGTAATATGTGTTGGGACAAGTACTTGTGGTTTTGGTCCTTGTTTCACAGCTCACTATATTTCTTTTTTAGGGCTTTTGGGACTGAACAGTGCATAGCATGGCACAAACAAGTAGGTATACGACTAAGTAAGTATAGCTGTGCTGTATCAGCTATTTCCTAATTCTGATTTTATGGGCAATGGAAGCAGAGTGGTGCTTCATTTGTAGGGCAGGAATTCAAATGCTACAGAAGCCACACATTCAAGGAAGCCCTAGAAGGGACTGTTAATTCATTGTTGTGGTGGGTTGACCCTGGCTGA